AAAAAAAAAAATCACTGCCAGTCCTTTGTATTAAAAAAAGCTACAGCTTACAGATGCCACATGGTTGGATTTCAGATTTAGAGCTCACGAGTGCTTTGTAGCATATGGAATTAAAAACAGCAAAATATGTCAGGCAATTCATGCAGTTTGTAATATATAGCTGAGCTATCTTTTGAACTTTGATAGTTTTCAAAATTACCTTAAAATTTATAAATCTCAAGTCTGGAGAATCTGTGTAAAAGAATTATTTGGAAACAGTACATTTTATTATTCAGCCTTGTTTGGACTGGAGAGTGTTTATTCTTGATTAGAAACTGTAGTTTGTTTTAATTAAATCACACTTGTTAGTAAGGGGAACAGAGGCTTTTAGAGACCATTCAAAGATGTCTTTGGCATTTATAGAAGGATATTTATTATCACAGAGAGAGAGGCAGCTTCAGATCCTCCCTGATGTCCTCTGTTCTTGTGCCACTGCAGAGTCACTTGTGATGTCCTAGAGGTTAAAAATACATACCAGTGGGGGAAAGCAAACTAATTAAAGAGCAGAGATTGTTGGATTGTATAAAGAATACAAAGCAACTGCGCCTGGGAAAAGCTCCAGAAAAGAATGGGAAAAGATATGCTCTACAAGCACCACCCTAAAGCAACCATATTGAGAAATAGACTTTAAAACATGGCCTGCTAAGGAGAGTCACATGGAGAGAAAACATTCTCTCAGGCTTTCACAGAAAGCAAATTGGTCAAGCAATGGCCATGACTCATCCATATGGCTGACACTGACAAAGGATCTGCAAACTGAGGTACAGGGTTTCAGGATAAGTCGGAGGGGATTTGACTGACCTTGTCAGATACAAGAGTTATATTTCTTGTTATATAGGCCTTACTCTTTCTTGGTTTTAACCATCCAGCAGAAAAGTATGAAAATGAAGTATAAAAAGTAAAGCCATATTAATATGATGAGCTGTAAAAAGCTCATCAGCAGCTTCAGACATTGACAGTCTTATGGAAAACCCACTACTATTGTGGACTGTTGGACTATATTGGGATATTTTGCTGAATTCATGTGCATACAGTATTTATATGATAATGGAATGCCCTTCTCTGACAGAACTAACCAAAAAAATGGGGATAAAATGAAAAACAATTTTGTATCTGTATACTCAAAATAGGATAGATATATAGCTGCATTCTCTTAATTCAATGAATAAAGAGTTTTGTTCTAATAGTGTTTGAGACAGGATATCAGGTCTGCATCTTGTACAATGAATAACCACTAAGATAACAATATGCAATGTATTAATTGTTGAAAATATACTAGTAATTGGTTGTGAAACTGTCTCATTGCTATTTGTTTCTCAATAAAAATATTTTTTAAAAAATGGCCTGCTTCCAGGAATGAAGAGAGACATTACACAAGGAAAGAAACTCAGGATAGCCAGAAATCATTGAATCCCTAGTGTGACCCTTGTAGCAGATTGTCAAAGCACCTAGCACACAGAATCATAGAACTCAAAGAGAAATGCACAATCCACTCTACGAGTTGGAGCCTTCACTCCATTCGTATTAAGCTGTATAGCAAATGAATGGAAAATCAGTAAAAATATGTAAGACCTGATCAACCCTATCACTCAACTTGATCTAGTGAATGATTATAAAATAGTTTGCCCAATAATACACACTCTTTTTAAATATACATGAGACATTCCCTACGATAAACCACATTCTGGGCCATAAATCAAACCTTCTAAAAGAACTGATATCATAAAGCTTATATTCTGACCATAAACAAATTGTATTAGCAATTGACAACAAAATGATATCTGGAAAATCCCAAATATTTAGAAATTCAGCAACCTATTTCTGATAAACTATTTGTCAAAAAACACAAGAGTGACTTTTTTCAATTTAAATATAATAAAATGTCCTCCATGAATAAATTTTGAATGAAAATACAGTATATCAGAATTTTTAGGAATTAGCCAGAACAGTGCATGAAGATAAATTTAAAGTATTAATATGTTCAAAAATAAGAAAGATCTGAAATCAGTTAAGTTTATTCTTGAACTAGAAAAAAAAAAGCAAATGAAATCCAAAGCAAACAGAAAATAATGAAATACTAACTAGAAAAGTAGTAGAAAACCCCAATGAAACCAATAAATGATTTTTACTAATACAGTTTTTAAAAAGTGTATTTGGTACAGAGTCTCACTATGCAACTTGGACACATAGTGATCCTCCTGTTTTCAGCCCCCCAATGCTGGGATTACAGACTTGCACTGCCATGCCCGGACTGGCACTGCCTGTGGTACTGAGTGTCTGACCCAGTCTCCCTGCGCTTGCCTTAGCAGGCACTTAGTCCACCAAGCTATCTCGCTGGCCCTACTAATACAGTTAATTAACACAATTAATATAATTTATATCATTATAATTAATAATATAATAAAATATTATTAATATTACTAATACAATTAATATAATTTAGAATAAGTAAAAAGGAAAGAACATACAAAGTATCAACATCAATGGTTAAGGAAAGAGATTGCCCTAATAGAGCAGTCAAAGAATGACATGGACTATTAAGAGCAGCTTTATGTTCAGACAATTACAACTTAAATGGAAAATGTTCTTGAAAGACATAATTTCTTAAAAAAAATTGGGGTATAACTATGAATGTCCATTTTGTATCTGTGTATTCAAAGTGGTTGGGATAGATATATAGTTGCATTCTCTTAATGAATAGAATGATTTTTTCTAATGGTGTTTGTAAGTAGGATCACAAGTCTGCATCTTGTACAGCAATTAACCACTGAGAAGAATGTATGCAGTGTATTATTTGTTGAAACTGTACTTTTGATTTGATTTGAAACTGTCTCATTGCTATATGTTTATCAATAAAACTTAGAAAAGAAAAAAAAAAGACATAATTTAGCCAGGTTCATTTAAGAAGAAATAGAAGGGCTAGCCAAATAGCTCAGTAGATTAAGAGGTTTGATCCCTGAGCCTGCCGTGCTGGCCCTGTCCCCGGCGCGCTCAGAAGGCAGTTGAGATGGGGCGTGGTGGTGTATGCCTGTAATCCCAGCTCTTGGGAGGCTATAAACATGCGGATCACTACGAGTCCAATCTAGTAGTGAGACTCTGAACACCTTCTAGACCCTTCATAGATAGATAGATAGATAGATAGCCAGCCAGCCAGCCAGCCAGCCAGACAGACAGACAGACAGACAGACAGACAGATAACCAGGGCAGTTCTTTATTAATTGAAGGAATTGAATTTATAGTTAAATGCCTTCCAACAAAGAAAACTCCATACCCAGGCGCCTTCCTTGAGGAATTCTGCCAAACATTTAAGGAATAAACAATACACAAATGCCTGTGACAGTAAGAGAGTTGAAGGGAACAGTCTCCACTCTCAAGGTGGGCATGGTCTCCACGTCTTCAGCACACTGTAGCGCCACCCACTGGCCAACTGGTCACTGTGGCTCACTCTGTCTCCTGTGTGGTGATCACCACAGGAAAGGTTCTGTGTGAGGCTTGCCTCCTGCTATGAAATTAGGTAACTCCTCCTCTGTAAAGCCATGCTTAGTCAGTCCATGTGAAATGTGACCAATTAAACAGTAGGGCTAGAAGCCAGCCAGAGAATACTGATGCCAGGCTTCCTCTTCTGCCTTGCTCTGAGCCAGGGCATCCTTGAATATGAGAGTGTGGCCAGGCCTAGGAAGAGGTAAGGGTGGCTGCCTGCATAGGGCACCATCGTGTGACTGGAGGGAGTCAGTTACTTCACTTAGGCCACCAGCTGCCTGGGGATCCTGGGCCCACAAGAGCGCTTGAGGTGACCAGCAGGGCAAGCGGAGGGGGCATCGGAGGGTTTCCGAATGCAGATGCAGAAAACCTGTGGTGCTGCAAGCCTAGGAAGCACTAGGGTGGAAGGAAGCTTTCTATTTTATCTACACTGAGTTTTCTGGGTGTTGTAGACCATCAAGTGGAAATATCTATAATGTGGAAACCAGTCTGTGAAGAGCTAGCTACACAGAGATCTGGAGAGAGAAGGCAGGGGCTGAGTGTGCAGGTCAGAACATATCTTTCTCCATAACTTATTTGTGCCTCTCTGTGCCACCTGTAATGACCCAGGCATGTGTACAAATCAATCTTTGCACAGTGGGAGGTAAATGCTGTATCCTACTGTAACACCTAGACCATAGAAGCTCTTCATCCTTCATATCTTCTGTTTATGCCACCAGGGGGTCAGTTAAATTAATTGTTGTATTCTTTGTTTCAGAAAAACTGTACAACTCCAATGGACGGGATTTAAGAAGGGCCCTTTTCTCCTTGAAGCAGATATTTCAGGTAAAAAGAAAAAAATTATTCTTTAGTCCTGTTTTTTCCCCCTATGGAATTAGGTACAGATAAGCTTAGATCACTGTGTGTTACAAGAAGGAAATTACTGGGCTGGGGAGATAGCTCGGCAGTCTAAGTGCCTTCCAGGCAAGCACAGGGACTGAGGTTCGATCCCTTGTATTGTCATAGACATAACTGAAGACTGCCAAGTTGTTTGTTTGTTTATTTATTTATGGCAGAACTGGGGGTTGAACTCGGGCCCTTGCGCTTGCCAGGCAAGCGCTTATTCTACTGAGCTATCTCCCCAGCCCAGGTTGCATTCATTCTATGTCAGCTTGCTTATGAACAGCGGCGGGGCGAAGGTCTGCCAGAAGGAGCTCTGGATAGGATTACCTTGTGTGAATGAAGCACAGGTGCTCGGCTTACTCTGGACAGACAGCGAGGCTGGTTTCCAGTGTTTTGCTGTCATGAGCCATGCTCTGTGGATGTGCCCCCTCATGCACATGTGGTGTCCTTCTCAGGTTTCGTTGTATCCATCCCTTGTAAGCCTTCCCTCTGTCCTGACCCTGATAAAGTCAGGATGCAAACAGGCTGCAAGATAATTAACCGTGAGACTGCAGGGGCCAATCAGGAGATGGGTTTGTAAAGATGACCCTTACATGGAGCCTGTGTCTTTCTGGGTCCATTGTTCCTTTCTCTTAGGATTTTAAACTAGAGAGTATATTCTACTTCTCTCCATTTCCCATTTTGTCCGTATCCTTAAATTACTTTTTGTGTTCATGAAGGTTCCAGTGAGAGTGGGTTCCTAACTGTGCAAAAAGGAATGGGCAAAAGGTAGCCCCCAAAGGCATCTACTCTACTCATTCTTGTCCCATTCTTCTTCAGCTTGTTTGCTCATACCTTCCTTTCATCCCAATACAGAGCTCTCTTCTGTGTGGATTTCCCAGAGATACATCCTCTTTTCTTCCCACATCCTCCAGCTAGCACCCCTGTGCCCAGTCTCTGTGTCTTGCTTCATCTCTTGGGAATTGTTGGTTCAGAGGCCTGAACAAGCTTTGATTCAGGGTTGACCTCTGAGCCATCTTGGAGATCACACTGAGCCATTTCATCCATACACACACTCACTCTCTCTCTCTCTCTCTCTCTCTCTCTCTCTCTCTCTCTCTCTCTTTCTCTCTCTCTCACACACACACAGACACATGCATGCACACATGCACACGCATGGCATTGCCTGTGTTTGGGTCTCCTCAGGTCAGTCCAATCTTAGTGTCCCACTCCTGGAAGTTGCCTCTCCTGCTGGCTCATCTTATCTTATGGTTTGTGTTGAATTCTTCAGTTCAGCACTGAAGACCTTGGTCTGGTCCTGCTGCCCATCTCACTGTCCTGGATCCATTTTGAGTTCCTCCTGCAGCTGTTTTGCAAGACAAAGCCATGCCCTTTCTTGTTTCATGTCCCTCCTTTCCCCCCAAGCCCCACAGCTTCTGTCTCAGGGTGTTTTGCCACCCATGCCTACTTTCTGTATTTCTCAGTTTTCTTCCCACTAGGATCTCACTCCAAATGATTATTTCCCCAAGTTAGCATCCTTCCAAATATGTTGGAAGTATCTTGTGCTTACCTCTAATACAGGACCAAAAATAGTATAGAGTATGGGTCTGAGTCCATGCATCTGTGACCTCTCTTTGGAGTCTTGTGTAGTGTCTGGCACCACATAATAAATGAACAGACTGCCTGAACTGGACTGAGTGGTCTTCTGGAGATGTCTGTCTTCAGTCCTTCTGGTTGCTAAGTAGTAAATGCAGTGCTAATTGTCCCAAACTCCGCTTCTCCTGTATCCCTCCAAGTCTTGCTGTTATTCAGCCTAAAGAAAGAAAGTGTCTTCATCCTCCATTATGTTGTCCTGTCCAACCCAGGTCCCTGTGGTTGGGTCAGGCTCTTTCCACATCACCACAGTGCTGCAATTATACTGCTGTTCACTGTACCTCATTCAGCCTGTTAGCCTCTTCTGGTCACCCATTGCTCAGCTTTGGCTTTTCCCTCCTGAATGTGTACTTGGCAGGCCACACAGAGAGGCGTGATCCCAAGTGACTTTAAAACATTGTAGCTTTTTCACAAGGGTTTGCCACAAGAGCACAGGGGTAGCAAAAACCACCACTAAATCTAAGCCAACATCGGAAAGGAAAAGATAAACATTAATATCGTTGTCATCAGACACATGGACTCCGGCAAGTCCAGCACCACTGGCCATCTGATCTACACATGCAGTGGCATCGACAAAAGAAACATTGAAAAATTTGAGAAGGAGGCTGCTGAGATGGGGAAGGGTTCCTTCAAGTGTGCCTGGGTCTTGGAAAAGTTGAAAGCTGAGTGTGAGCGTGGTATCACCATTGACTTCTCCCTGTGGAAATCTGTGACCAGCAAGTATTATGTGACCATCATTGATGCCCTGGACACAGAGACTTCATCATAAACATGATTACAGACATGTTGCAGGCTGACTGTGCTGTCCTGATTGTTGCTGCTGGTGTTGGTGAATTAGAAGCTGGTATCTCCAAGAATGGGCAGACCTGTGAGCATGCCCTTCTGGCTTACACACTGGGTGTGAAACAACTAATTGTTGGTGTTAACAAAATGTATTCCATGGAGCCACCCTACAGCCAGAAGAGATATGAGGAAATTGTTAAGGAGGTCAGCACCTACATTAAGAAAATCATCTACAACCCTAACACTGTAGCTTTTGTGCCAATTTCTGGTTGGAATGGTGACAGTATGCTAGAGCAAAGTGCTAATATGCCTTGGTTCAGAGGATGGAAGGTCACTTGTAAAGATGGCAATGCCAGCAGAACCACACTGCTTGAAGCTTTGGATTGCATCCTTCCACACACTTGCCCAACTGACAAGCCTTTGTGGCTGCCCCTCCAGGTTATCTACAAAATTGGGGGTATTGGCACTGTCTCTGTGGGCTGAATGGAGACTGGTGTTCTCAAACCCAGCACGGTGGTCACCTTTGCTCCAGTCAACATCACAACTGAGGTCAAGTCTGTTGAAATGCACCATGAAGCTTGAGTAAAGCTCTTCTTGGGGACAATGTGGGCTTCAACATCAGAATGTGCTTGTCAAAGATGTCTAGTGTGGCGATGTTGCCAGTGACAGCAAAAACAACCCACCAATGGAAGCAGCTGGTTTCACTGCTCAGGTGATTATCCTAAACCATCCCGGCCAGATCAGTGCTGGCGATGCCCCTGTCCTGGATTGTCACACAGCTCACATTGCTTGAAAGTTTGCTGAGCTGACAGAAAAGATTGATCGCCGGTCTGGTAAGAAGCTGGAAAATGGGCCCAAGTTTTGGAAATCTAGTGATGCTGCCATTGTTGTCATGGTTCCAGGCAAGCCCACGTGTGTCGAGAGCTTCTCTGACTGCCCACCTCTGGGTCATTTCACTTTCGTGTTATGAGACAGACAGTTGCTGTGGGTGTCGTCAAAGCTGTGGACAAGAAGGCTGCTGGAGCTGGCAAGGTCACCAAGTCTGCCCAGAAAGCTTAGAAGGGTAAATGAATACTATCCCTGATACCTGCCATCCCAGTCCTAATCAGTGGTGGAAGACCGGTGTCAGAACTGTTTCTCCCAATTGGCCATGTAAGTTTAATAGTGAAAGACTGCTTAATGATAGCAATGCATCACAAAACCTTCAGGAAGAAAGGAGAATGTTTTGTGGACCATTTGTGTGTGTGTGTGTGTGTGTGTGTGTGTGTGTGTGTGGCAGTTTTTAAGTTATTAGTTTTTAAAGTCAATACTTTTTAATGAAAACAACTTGACCAAAAATCAGTGATAGAATTTTGAGACCCATTAAAATAAAGTATAATGAGAAAAAAGTTGTGATTTCTGCACCTTTAATAGGATACACCTTAATAATAAAAAGAGCCAAACATACAATTTCTGTACAATAATAATATAAGAGATAATAGTGTTTGTATTACTATGCTGAGACTATAGAAATGCTAATTTTGTCCTTTTGTATTATTTTTAAAAATTAAGAATTAGCGGAAGGCAGGCTGAGCCTGAGACAGCTGTGGCGACCTGGTGACCTTTGCCCGGCCTCCCCACCTTCATGCTAGCCTTGCTGATGCATGCTCTGCCCCTACCACCACTGTTGAGCCCAGGTGAATGCAGGAAACTTCAAAAATGTCAAAATGAAGGAGCAAAAAGCAATCTCAGTCCTCCAGCCCACCCAGAGCAAGTCCAGGAGACAAGGACATAGAAGAACTTGGAAGTCACACACCTGAAATTTCTGAAATGATGGAAAATCAAGTAAAGAAACAACTCCCATCAGGCTATCGAAGAAATCAGATCAGAAATAATCTCTTAGGTAAAAAAAGAAATGAGATCAATCGTGAAAGAATTGCTCAGCACATCTAAAGAAGACATAGATAAAAAAAAGAGAGGAGAATGAAAAAATGATGGAAGCATTGAATGAACAATAAAGGAAAGAAATAGAATGCATGGTACAGATTCAAACAGAATGTCCAGGAAATTAAGAGTTCCATTGAAATCTGGCAAAACCACTTGAATGAAACAGAAAATAGACCTTTGGATATTGAGGACAGTATTGCACCTAGTGACGTGAAATGCAAAAATCTTTGAAATTTTAAAAATAACAAGGAAGCAGGAAATAATTCAACAGCTGCCAAATAAAGCAATGTAAAACTGATAGGTGTCAACAAGACAGTAGTCAGCAAAAATGACATAAAAGTATTATTTGCAGAAATAGTAGCAGGAAATTTCCCAAGCATGAGAAAAGAATCTGACATACAGTAAGAGAGGCATATAGAACTCCAGTTAGCCATAATAAAAATAAATATATACCCAGACACAAAATAGTCAAGATTCTAGAAATTCAGCAAAGGAACAGAATATTTGAAGCTATTAGAAAAAAGAAACAGATCACCTATAATGGAAAGCTCATCCGAATCACAGCAGATTTCTCAACATAAACCATCAAGTCAAAAAGAGCT